ATTTGGTTTGTGGTGGTTCTGTGGTATGCCATTTTTTTCTTTTGCTAAATCGTCAGCATTCTTGTTTTTTTCAGTAATATAGTGACCTGCTACCTAAAAGGTACTTTATGTTTTTTTTACTCCACAGGCTTACTTAAGATTTGGATCAAAGATTGAAGAAGATACAGGGGCTGAGTCTACTGTGAGTCCAGGCATATTGTTTGCTCAGCTATGAAATGTATAGTAGACTTGCAGGAAGTCGTTTATATATAGATAACTTTTATACATTTGGACATTGAGGTCAGTACGGGATGAATGTTTTGTTCCCCAAAGCAATCCAATGCTGTATAGTATAACATAGCTAAAAATCCGAACAAATAAGATGATGAAATTCCATGTATCGGTTTATCTCCTTTATGAAATTGCTTCCACGAGTTTTAGATATCTATATTACCTACGCCTACCATATGTTGAATATACACTTTTTCCCTCATACTCTATAGAAACGCAACATCTCGATTTTCTATTAATTGAATTGTTAAATTTTGAAATCATGCAACAACTTTTTTATGTGTAAATGAAAGACGAATTCAAATTACAACAATTTTTGACATATCAAATTAATACCAGCTGGCCTGAAAGGGCTACCTTGTTATTCTAACATGACTACAACAGTTTAGAAATAAAACAGGATAAAAATACAACAAACAAAAAAAAATGTTTTTATTTGTTGTTTGTTGTTTTATACTATTTGGTTGTGCTTCCTCCTCAGTGTCAAAGGGAGATCTATGTATATGCCCGGTTATACTCTAAGATTTTCAAAATGGTGCTAAGTGTATAAGTTTTGGCTTCCCAGCCAAAACAACAAAAGGGAGGTTGTACTACAAAATAACTCCAACAACTACTAAATTTTTACTAGGTATCCTCTGTGGCAGAGTATAAGCACAAGCCTATACAATAACTATTAACGATATCTTGGCCTAAGTGTAGCGGCTTTATAAATCTGTACAAAAAATAAACTAGATACAGGATTAGAAAGGACATGACAAACTATGAAAAATACAATTCTGTACTAGATCTTATTATCGCGCATTTAGATAAATAAAAATACCCGGCTTAACCCACATTATCAGATTTTAATTCTTAATTCGAATTTGTGCAACCAGATTTACCATACAAAAATAGATCTTCTCACGACCGAATTTATTTTTAATCCGGTGTACAATCTACTAACAAAAAGCATATTTACAGAAAAACTTAACATTTTATTTGCTCATGAAAATACACATGGAAGAATTAAAAAATTAAAGTAAGGCAATTACAAAATTTTCATTTGACAAAATCTCATGGTCAAAATTTATATTTATAAATCCATTGTATATACACAAATAAGAAATGGAAACCTATTTTCTATGAAGTAAAATTTGACAAGGAAAATTACAGAAAATGCAGAGATGGATACGCTTATTTGAAATGACTTCACCTTATTAATTTTACCATGATAATACATTGGAAGATACATTATTTTCCTTGCAAAAGTTGAATAAACACTTATTTTCCAACATTAATTGTCTCTGTATTAGATTTTTGATACATCATTTTGTGTATGGATACGTAAACAAGTAAAAAAACTTTAAGTACGGACGAATTTCTAATACCCTCCAGCATTAGGAAAAAAAACATTTCTTAATAAAAGTTTATGGATTCAACAGTTTTTTTATATTTAATCTACAAATACTGGTGGGATCGGTTGGGAAATACAATTAAAGGACCAGGACCATCAAAATATCGAATATCTGTATGCACCCTTATATGGAAACCTTGGACAATGCTTAGCCACAGAAGGTAGAACCCGCTACAAATTTGGCACAAGTCCTCGGAAAATGGGTCTAATATAATTAAAATACCAATTATCGGGAGCTGCTTTATATGGGGGTCATAGGAAAACCGACACCGACACATTCAATCTTCTGGCACCGAGGCTAGAACCCATTACAAAACTAGAAAAAAATGTAGCTAAGACAATCAAAATACCGAATATTGGGAGGTACCGTTATATTGGGGCTAAACCAAAACGTGGGCCGATATACCGCATTTTCAATAATAATCATCTTAGAAACAATAAAAACTATTGAGCCAAATTTTAAAGCTTTACGCCAATAACCGCTAAGTCTACTTAGAATTTTGGAAGTTACCGTTATATGGGGGCTATACCAAAACGTGGACCGATATACCTCATTTTCAATACTAACCATCTTAGACACTCTACAAACTAGCTTTACGTCAACAACCGCTAAGTCTACTTAGAATTGATCATGAATATATATACCTCATTTTCAATACTAACCATCTTAGACACAATACAAACTAGCTTTACGTCAATAACAGCTAAGTCTACTTAGAATAGAATAGAGTAGCATAGAATAGAATAGAACAGAATAGTATAGAATAGAATAGAAAGGTTGTTCAACTTCAACGAAACTAGAAAAATACGACTCTGTGCTGGAGTCTTATAGTGTCAAATAGACTTTTAAATATGCTACAGATGGTTTGGTTTATGTTGGGGTCATAGGAAAACCTACACCGACACATTCAATCTTCTGGCACCGAGGCTAGAACCCATTACAAAACTAGAAAAAAAAAATGTAGCTAAAACAATCAAAATACCGAGTATTGGGAGGTAATCAATAACCGCTAAGTCTACTTAGAATTGATCATGAATATATATACCTTGTGGTATCTAGAACGAATTTTTAGAGGTGTTACAAACGGAATGACACATTTAATTCTATGGTGATGGGTATAAAAATAAGTATGAATTGAGCGAGGACATTTGTGCCCTTTTTGAAGCCCGCGATGTAGAATACCCTACAAGTTCCTAAAATACAAACCCAAATGAATTCTTTTTTCAGTTGAAGCCATTAAAAATAGAATAGAATATAATAGAAAAGAATAGAATAGCATAGAATAGAATAGAATAAAATAGAATAAAATAGAATAGAATAGAACAGAATATAATAGAAAGGTTGTTAAACTTCAACGAAACTAGAAAAATACGACTCTGTGCTGGAGTCTTATAGTGTAAAATAGACTTTTAAATATGCTACAGATGGTTTGGTTTATGTTTCATTTTTAACAAAATTCTTAAATTGGGGAAAATACGCGAAAAAAGAAGGGAATTTTGGGGTTATTCCTCAAGATTAAATCTAAATAGCAGGACAATACAATTTATGTGAAAATTTTACAATGTGGGCGTCGAAAATTAAATTAAAAAAATACACACATTTTGCGTAAGTGTGTGTATTGTCTTGAATAAAAAATACAATAATTTGAAATTATTTCAAATTTGGTTGCAAATTAATGGAAATTTTCGATGAAATGTGCAACAAATTGTACAATTTTGTGATAAAACTGTAACTGTATTTAGATTCAATCTTGTGAAATATCCCTGAAATTCCATTCTTGTTTCACGGGTTTTTTCCAATATAAGAAAAGATCAGAAAATATCATTCTCTTGAATGATTTTGGCCCTAATCTCTCCACACTTCAAGCAATTGCTAGAAATCGTGGAAAAGGCAATGTCCCTTTCAAGTTGAAACCAAACAACATACATACAAAAAGTATTCTACATTTTGCAATTTTAGGAAACATGAAATATACGAATATGTTATCCAACGTGGTGTCGCTGCTCCTTAATCGCAAAAAAAAGTTTCAGAACCATCGCCTTTGGCGTTTTGTTTAGTACAGGCAATTTTTTCTATTATTAGACAAAAAATGTGTTCACATTGCCCTGCAGTTAAATTTTATATCAAAAATGGGTATACCCATGGTACAATAAGGAGGTAGGACAGCTTCGTAAAACTACAAAAATACAGCCCTGAGGCTATGTCCGCTTCCTGTCAGACTCATTCAAAATTATTGTTTTAATTTTTTTCATATTTTTCCAAGCGCGAAGAATGAATGAAATTACTGGATTTTTCTCTCAAAAATATGATCCTAACCATTCAATTTCATGGCTATATTGGTCAATAGCTTTAATGCGCGAGCCGCAATTTATGTGTCTTCCAATCATTGCTTGGGAAAATATTTTTTTTCATTTTTCAAAACAATAAATACATACACAAAATTGGCAGAAGTCGGGCACACTTAGAAAAAAATTGTAATCAGCTGGTAGCTCTACCTTACCTCTTTATTGTACCATGGGTATACCTATTGTATATCAAGAAATGGAATTAAATAACAAAACGTCTGAATGAGAAAAGAAAACCAAATGAATGGTTTGGCTGTTGATTCAATTCTAATTTTATTATGAAAATATTTTTCTTAAGTACTACTGTACAGTACATTTTGATTGTTTATTGCTAGTTTTTCCCAGCGCCTCAACCGCACTCAAAAGTATGTACAAAGTAATTTGTACAACGTCATATCGAGTTTGACACTAGTATTACTATAGAGTCAAATCAGGTGGGACTTCCTGTTAACTGTAATAATTATACCATGGTTCTCAACTAATAAACAAACGTTGCCTGACCATATAACATTGATATGTCAAAATTTTTGAAATGTTGTATCAAAATTAAGTAGATTATTAAATTTTTTTTTTTTTTTTTTTTTTTTGATACGATGCAAATTTGAGGTTGTTATAATCGGTTTGACAGTTCATTGTCCCAGCAGCTTTTTCGATGCGACTACCTGTATTCTTCTACCATGGAGTAGCTTTGTTCTACCTTTTGTAAGTGTGCCATTTTTCTGTTGATGGAGAGCAAATAAAAAGAAAAAATGAATGTAAAATAATTATTAAAATTGTTCTTAAAAATGAATTAATAATAAATTATTTTCTTTAATATTTTTATCAATCCTGTGTTTCTTTTAATAATATATTGTTTCATGCGATTCCATTTCTTATTTTGTTTAAATGCTTTTCCAGCCGATTAAGTTTTCAAGTGACACCTCTTATATTTGCAAACCTGTTAAAGCAAAGAAGAGCCGCCGATTGATATAAAAGTTGACGGCGCTCACATTCTACTGCAGCGACATTATGGCTTGATCGAGAACAAAACAATCAACGCAAAATAAATTCACGACAAACGCGTATTTCAAACGGACAAAAGTGCACAAAGGAACAAAGATATTGAGTGCAATTTCCAAAAACAGAAAACTCTAGATATATTATATTGCATTAAAAAAATGGCTCAATCGGAGGAACAAACTGGAGATTTTGTTAATCGCTCTACTAACACAGAGGATTTTCCCGATGCATTCGGATCATTGGGTTCAACATCGACAAGCTATTATGGTGGCGGCTATAACAATGCTGGAAATCAACACCAGATGCAGCAGGGTGCAATAGCCCAATTAGCGAACAAAGGTTTCGGTACATCGTCTACATCAAATTATACTGCCAGGATGCCGACTGACCGTCATGCAGTTGAGTACAATATGCGTCATAAAAACCGGGGGCTTGCCATGATTTTTAATCATGAACATTTCACTGTGCAATCACTCAAATCAAGATCAGGCACAAACGTCGATTGTGATAATTTGGCTCGATGTCTCAAACAACTAGATTTTGATGTTCAGATTTATAAAGATTTTACACTAAAAGAACTTATGCGTCAGGTTGAATGGGCAGCTAGCCAGGATCACACCAATAACGATTGTATTTTGGTGACCATTCTTTCGCACGGAGAATTGGGCTATATTTATGCTAAAGATACGCAGTACAAATTGGACAGTATTTGGAGTTATTTCACAGCACAACACTGTCCCACATTAGCTGGAAAGCCAAAATTATTCTTTATTCAAGCTTGTCAAGGTGATCGTTTGGACCCCGGTGTCACTATGAAACGTGCAGTGACTCAAACTGATGGTGAGTCATCAATGAGTTATAAAATACCGGTGCATGCAGATTTCCTTATTGCATACTCAACGATACCAGGGTTTTACTCATGGCGTAATACAACCAGAGGATCCTGGTTTATGCAATCTTTGTGTGCTGAGCTAACTGCCAACGGTAAACGGTACGATATACTTACATTGCTTACGTTTGTTTGTCAACGTGTTGCCGTTGATTTTGAGTCATGCACCCCAGATACACCAGATATGCACCAACAGAAGCAGATTCCATGTATAACGACAATGCTTACGCGAATACTACGTTTTTCTGAAAAGAATCAATTACCACCAGCAGCAAGAGTTTAAATCCACCGTATACCAGAAATAAAAGTGTGGATTCATTCTGGTAAATGTGATAGAATAGACAACAGTTTTGAAACTCTGGTTTTTATATCATAAAATTTCTTATTACTCATATTTATAACCAAATTTAAAAATTCGCATGTTTTTTATAAATCATAATATTCGTAGGTATATAACATCTTGTGAAATTGTATGACTGATGTCCCACTTTACAAATATCCAATAAATCTTACTTTCTTAAATTATTTCATTTAAATAAACGCTTCCATCCATATCTCTAAAATTCTCAAATTGTGGTACTCGATAAATCTATGCATTCTTTAGAGATCATAACCAATGTATATGTGTTAGACTCTCAATAATTGATGAATTAGTGTGATAAATCACTAAATATCTATATGCTATTATATTCTTATATTAGTTTCACTTAAAAAAAATAAATAGTTTTTATTAAAATCTATAAAGTTTAATATCCAATTTTTTTTGTCTTTTAAAATACTTATTATCATAGCCACATATAATGAACCACAAATCATGCTGCCATGTTTTTATATGCGAATCTTTTTTAGTATTGAAGCAATTATAGACTATATGCGCAAATATGTATTAATTTTGGTACTTATGGAATATTTTTACAATACAATAAATAAAATAATATGTATCCCAAAATACCAAATTGTTTATCCTCAATGAGTACCATATATGGAAAATGTAGTTTCCTTTAATGACTCAAGTTGACATTGCGACGATGAAAAAGTTGAATGCAACTAAGGTTATCAGTATTTGGATTTTACATTTTTCATTATCCATATAAGGTCTGTAAGGTGGACAACTAAAACAAAAACAGTGTTAGCATTTATTCTGTTGTGTCAAATTAATCAGGCTAGATATCATTGTTGTTGTTTTAAAACAAATTGTATTTAGTAGCGCAACGCTGCAAATTTGTTAGAAGAGGAATCAAAGGAATTTCTTTGGTATTTCGTCTAAATATTTGACAATTGTCCATTTTCATCCACTATTATTCTTTTGTTGTATAGCACTTATAAACATTTACATCTTTCTCCACTTGTTATGCTTTCGTTCAACCTGAACGAAGTAGCATAACCATGTAAGTTGGTTTTGTCTGTTACAACAAAAACCACTTCGTCGACCGTGACTTGTCTATTAATAGAACAGTGTTGGTTGTTTGTTCGGGATACCGCAGTATTTTGTTGTTGTAAAATGGTCAGGCTTTACCCCTTTATTGTTGTTTTTATAAAACAACGTTTGTTTATTAGTGGAGAACGATGGTAATGTTTACCAGGGGGTGAAAAATGTTTTTTGTCATAGAAGTTATTTTTTAAAATAATTTGATGGATCCAAAATTAAATTTTAAATAATCATGGAAAAACAATGATAAATAAAGCAAATGGTGTTTTAAGTTCTGTAAAACGAATAGCCAAAGAATTTTCTGATCTATATATAACAAAACATTTATGTTTCTTGTTAGACCTATATTATATCAGTGTAAAAACAATTTTTGCTTTGAGAGATCTGCAATGGTTTAGCTATTTTTTCTTTTGCCTTCTTATAATAGCAGGCTAAAGTTAGTCAGATTGTCTACACTAAAAAACAGACGTATTATGTTGAACTCAATGAATATTAGAATTAATGTTCGTTTTAGATCTAGTACAGGGTTGCCTATATTCGACGGACCCATGTTTTGTTATGCGACTTGTGTGCGGTGGAGCGCCGTCTTGTTTAAACCAAAACTGCCTCATACGTTTTCGACGAATAATTGGCATCACAAAATTGGTCATCATGTCGCGATAACGCTCCTGATTGATGGTAACAGCATGGCCATTTTCATTTTGGAAAAAAAAACGGCCCAATGACCGTTTTCGCACTAACGCCGCACGAAACTGTGACTTTTTCGTCATGAAGAGGCACTTCTTGAATCTCCTGAGGATTTTCAGTGGCGTAAAAACGGCAATTTTGCTTATTTACGGTCCCTTAGAAGGCTCACTTCTCACATTTTTTAATGTTTTAAAAGCACGTTGAGTTTTCACAATTGACTTCTTCTGTTGAATGTAAATTTCAACTATTTCAGAGCGGTCGCGTGGCGTGTATAGGTAAATGGTAAAAATCTGCTTGGACTGACGCTTCAAACGCGGCGTTGGCAGATGGGTCCGTCGAATATGGGCAACCCTGTAGATACTATCAAATATTATTCACCGATTTTCACCTGACGAATTATTCAATGTGTGTTGATTTTAATTCAGTTCACTATAATGTTGATTTTAGTATGAATTTAGAAATCATAAAATTATTAGAATAATTTTATTTTTAAATGACTAAGATATGTACGTTGTATTGTTTTGTAAATTATCTGATGCAGTAGATTCTGTAGCAGGTTTTCTATTGCCTACTCAATTATTTTCATGATGCGGATCGTGATGAGTACGCGATCCCTACGAAAAGGGAGGACGCCATCTCGGTCAGCAGGGTCTGGACGTACAATTGTCAATGTTGTCGAAATTGATTCAGATATGAATCAAATAGATTTCCCTCTGATTTTATGTTTACTTATTTCACGTAAATTCCCAATATAAAAGTTTATTTGTTTGGGTAGATTTTCTTAATGTTCATTGTGGTCTAAGGTATACAGTTGGCTCGTCCGACTTCTGTCCATTATTTACTAGTTGAAGACTTGGTAACAAATATCCATATTAAAAAGTGAAATTCTATGTTCGAAATGTCAAATATTTAAAGACGATGGATTTTGCAAAAACGTGGTGGTGTCCTTATTGCAATTGACAATATTATTATTGATATAATTGAACTTAAAACTGTAACATATTTTTACATTCCTCCTTTGCAATTATTTGACATGCTGATTATAAGCATTAAACTGTAATGAATTTTATAGATTTTAGTCATATAATAACAATGGTAAATAAAACAAATGATTTTTTAGGTATTGTAAAACAATTATTCTTATACAAGCATAACAAAACAGCTAATTTCGTTTTTTGTTAGAACAATATGCAAGATATAATTTGATACTTTTTAATTAGACGAGCTTTGGTCGGAGGCTTGTGATTTTATCCTCTGGGTAAGTCCGACAACGACTACGCAAATCAACGTTTTTCAAAAAATTTGATAATATTTAAGTAGCGGACCCCCGGACTGGACTGGAGAATTTCTCCTCTGGGTATGTTTAACATCCGAATAGGGAAAAATACCTACGGAAGATATTGATGACACAGGACAGACCTTCTTTCACTGTGGACGCAGGGCAAATAACAATGAGGTGGTGGAGTTGGCACATTAACATGCGAAAATGTCATTCAAAAAGATTCTTGGAGAGGGTAAAAGTTTTTATCTAAGGAGTGCTAAAAGCCAAGAAGAAATACCTTGACGCAACTACATATATAAGACACAATAGCCGAGGCTGGATGCAAGCTCAATGTGATAAATGGAGTAAGTTAAACCAAACAAGTAAAAAAACATTAAGTTCGGACGGGCCGAACTTTTTTTCCTCATCTTAGGGTATGGAAACATTAGAACTAATTATAACCCACAAATACCAATTTTTAGACATATTCGTGGGAAAATATATATATATATATATATATACTAGCTGAACCCGGTGCGCTTCGCTACCCCTTTTGATTTTATATGCATTCAAAATTTTATTTACGAATATATGTTGGATAAAGAAAATCAAATTTAAAAATTAAAAAAAAAAAAAATATATTGCACTAATTTAATGCGTTAATAAACAAAATCATTACAAAAGCAGTAACATGACATGCATACACGAAGGGTTTGTCCTTTGGATTTATCTATTTCATAGCAAATACCAAGCGTGCAGGAAACTGCAATTTTTTTAAGTAGAGTGGCATTTCTATTGCTATTAGTGAATTCGAGATAGCAACTTACTTCGCCGTAATAAGCGTATTTCAAATAAATTGTTGTGTTGTTCTTTAGTATTAGCCTAAGGCGTTGTGGGTCAATGGTTCTTATTAAAATCATATCCCAATCTGATCCGATTTAAATATAATATTAAAAAAATTACTTTTACACCAAACTCCGCCACACCTTTCATATTTCATTGAAATTGGTGCGTCAAATATGTGAAATCGGCCGAGAATATATATATATGGGAGCTATAATTTCCAATTAATTTATCACATTTATTATTATAACCAAATTCCGTCACACATTCTGAATTTCATTGGAATCGGTCATATATATCGTGTTTGGTGCATAATATGTATGAAATCGGCCTCAACTGATTTCAATATAATTTGGCAATTTTTTCTGGTGCCAGATTTTGTCTCTCTCGCTTTGGGTGCATCAAATATGTGAAATCGGCTGAGCATATATATGGGAGCTATAATCAAATCTGAGCGTATTTGAATATAATTTGTCAAATTTATTTTTGTACCAAATTTAGCCACTCATGCCGAATTTCGTTGGAATCGGAAATACGTATCGTGTTTTGTGCATCAAATATGTGAAATCGGCGGAAAATATATATGGAAGCTATATCCAAATCTGAACCGATTTTAATATAATTTGACTAATTTATTTTATAATCAAAATCCCGTTACATATTCCAAATTTCTTTGGAATCGAACATACATATCGTGTATGGTGCATAAATCGGTAGAAAATATATATGAGAGCTATATCCAAATCGGAACCGATTTTAATATAATTTGACAAATGTATATTTGTTTTAATTTCCACTACACATTCCAAATTTCTTTGAAATTAGAGATACATAGCGTGTTTGGTGCATCAAATACATGAAATCGGTCGAAAGTATATATGGGAGCTATATCCAAATCTGAACCGATTTCAATTTAATTTGAAAAATTCATTTTGTCTCCCAATTCCGTTACTTATTTTAAATTTCATTACAATTGGAAATACATGTCGTGTTTGGTCCACCAAATACATGAAATCGGCCGAAAATGTATATGGGAGCTATATCCAAATCTGAACCGATTTCAATATAATTTGGGAAATCATTTTTTTAGACAAAATCTATCACACGTTTCAAATTTCATTGAAATTGGGGATACATAGCGTGTTTGGTGCATCAAATGCTTGAAATCGGCCGAAAATATATATGGGAGCTATATCTAAATCTGAACCGATTTCAATATAATTTGACTAATTTATTTTCTAATCAAAATCCCGTTACATATTCCAAATTTCCTTGGAATCGAACATACATATCGTGTATGTTGCATAAAATACATGAAATCGGTCGAAAATATATATGAGAGCTATATCCAAATCTGAATCGATTTTAATATAATTTGACAAATGTATATTTGTTTTAATTTCCGCTACACATTTCAAATTTCATTGAAATTAGAGATACATAGCGTGTTTGGTGCATCAAATACATGAAATCGGTCGAAAATATATATGGGAGCTATATCCAAATCTGAACCGATTTCAATTTAATTTGAAAAATTCATTTTGTCTCCCAATTCCGTTACTTATTTTAAATTTCATTACAATTGGAAATACATGTCGTGTTTGGTCCACCAAATACATGAAATCGGCCGAAAATGTATATGGGAGCTATATCCAAATCTGAACCGATTTCAATATAATTTGGGAAATCATTTTTTTAGACAAAATCTATCACACGTTTCAAATTTCAT